GGGGGGAGCCCAGGGCTGGGGTACCAGGGGGCTGCGGGTCAGGATTGGGGGGCGCCCAGGGCTGTGATCTCTTCCCCGCTCTAACCCTGGGGCTCCCCAGCCTGCAGGGTGCCTTACAGCTGAAGCAGGACTTCGACACGGTGCGGCAGCTGGTGCAGTCGGAGGATTCCGGCCTGTTGCCTGAGATCAAGCAGTCTGTGCTGTCGCTGCGCATCTTCCAGCAGATGGACAATGCCATCATCTGCCTCTTGCAGCAGCCCAGCAGCAAGGCCTACCTGCCCTCCCACACCTGGGAGTCCTTCCGCAAGTGCTGTGAGTGCCGTGGGGCTGCACTGCCCCCAGCCAGGTGCATGATGGCGGGTCAGAGGTGGGAGCCCGGGTGAGCAGGGCTGGGCCCTGGGTGGGACGTGCCCAGAGATGGGCTCTGTTGGGTGCTGTTCCCGGCGCACGATCAGCATGCACGTGCTGAGCACGCGGAGCCCCGCTCCCAGGCCCGGGGACAGGCTGGACTCGCTCAGCTCTGCACCGGCTGTGGGGGAGCACTGGGGGGGACCGGCTCCACCCTGCACGGCACCCCGGGCCCAGTGGTGTCAGGGAGGTTAGCGGGCGCCCGTCGAAGCGGAGGTGCCGGTCCGTGGCTCTTTCTTGAGCAGCCTGCTGACAGCCTTCTGTCCTGGAGACACTCTGGACTCCTGGGTCCCGCCCTCCCAGCGGGGCTGGGCCTGGCTGGGCACAGGGGAGCAGTATCCCCTTGGCTGAGGCCCTCCCGTAGGTGGTGGGGCTGGGTTGGCACCCTGGGGTGGCTCAGCCATGCTGAGGGCTTCTCAGCTATGGGGCAGTGGGCTGGGATCCCCCGTGCTGCTGGGTTTGGGCCCTTCTGCAGATGGCAACAGCCTGTCCGAGGGGCCACTGCCCAGCTCCCCAGGAGATTAGCTCGCCCCAGACCCCTGTGCATCTGCTGGGTGATTCCAGGGTGAGCAGCTGTTCGTACGGAGCGGGCAGGAGTCTGCGTGGGGCACCGCCTCCCCTGGCTCTGATCAGCCCCAACAGGGCGGGGGGCCAGGGCAGGGGGGGATGGGCTGCATGGAGGGCCCAGGCAATGACAGCGAGTGAACGGAACACAGCGACGTCAGTGCCGGGGTAACCTCCCCCTGCTGCCCCCTCTAACCACCCCTCACAACCCCCAGCCCCCCACAGCTAACCTCCTCCTACCCCCCACAGCTAACCTCCCCTCTGCCCCCCACCCCCACAGCCAACCTCTCCTAGCTCTCCCCCCCCAGCTAGCCTCCCCTCGTGCCCCCCCCGCTCCCCCGCCCCCGGCTGACATTTCCTCTCCTTGGCCCAGGCTCACACAACGGCGTCCGCACTCAGGACTTCCCCTCGGGCAGCCTGAACAGCCTGGAGAGCCTGGACGTGCAGGCCTTGCGCAACAGCACCGCCCTGGAGACCCAGAGCTCCGACCTCCTCAGCCAACTGCAGGGCAGCTGCACCCCGGAGTCCTACCTCCCGAGCACCCAGCAGGAATGGCTCTCCCTGCGGCTGCACGGCCCGCGGCGCTGGAAGGTGCCCAGCCTGCCCTGCACCAAGAGCTCTGAGCCCTGAGGGGCTGGGCAGGAGCCCAGCCACGTATCTGTGGTTAGAAATACAGCAGCCAAGTAGCCCCAAAGCTCCCTGGCTCCGTGGTTCTGTTCTGCCCCCATGGGATCCGCTGCCCCCCGGCCTGGCCAGCCAAGGCGTGCCTCAGCAGGGTGGCACATTCCCTGACCCGCCTCCTGGAGCAGACCACAGCCCGTCTCCCCTTGGGACTACAGATCCCAGCATGCAATGGGCCTCTGCGAGGACAGCTGGGCACGGAACTCCCTGAGCCAAGGCCCGGCAGCTGGCTGGTTCCCCACAGCATCAGCAGGAGAGGGCTGGGTAGGGTGACCAGACAGCAAGTGTGACAAATCGGGACAGGGAGTGGGGGGTAATAGCAGGCTATATAAGAAAAAGACCCCAAAATCGGGACTGTCCCTATAAAATCGGGACATCTGGTCACCCTAGGGCTGGGGCTGGGGCTGGCTCCTGTCTGAGCTGCCCCTGGGCCAGGCTCTCTGCCTGCAGCCAGCTCTGCAGGGAGCCCCTGGCTCGGGTGGGGTGGTGGACAGCCTAAGTGTTCTGGGTGGGGTCGCTGCCCCCCCAAACAGCTCGGCCCAGTGACTCTGGCCTGGCTGCATGGACCAGGCCCCCTGCAGACTGTTAGCCCCACACCTCTGGCCCGGCACTGGGGTCAGCGCCCCTACTGAGCCCCCACCCTGCTCTCTCTAGCACCATGCCGGGGCATTAGGATCAGAGCGCCCCCTACTGCCACCAGCCCTGGGATCTCTAAGACACACAGGTGCTGTGGCTGCATAGAGCAGCGTTGGCAGGCCTCGCTTCATGGGGCGATCCGGCTGCGGGCTCCTGCCCTGTGGAGTCCTGGAAAGGGAACGGCCCTGGGGCTCTGAGCTGTGTTCTGCTTGCTGCGGGCACGCGCAGGGCAGACGTCCCAGCTCCTTACAACGAAATCCGTGGCAGAGACCAGTGTGAGAGTGCCTGGGGGTGGTGATGACTCATTTCCATTTGTAACTAACTAATGAGAGGCGCTGGGGTTTGGTGGGTTGTACATGACACCCTGAGTGACACCTCCCCTCCACCGCCCGGCTGCCTGCCCCCCTGCAGCTTCCTTCCTGAGCAGTGGGCTCTTACGGGGCACCGCCGCCCCACTGCTACTTTGGGCCTGGAGTTTGACTAAGGAGATGGGTTTTCGCTGGCTCCTCGTGACAGAATAAATCTCCCCGTGGACCACGTCTCTTCACCCTCTCAGCTGCTCTGATGTGGCTGAGCCGTGGAACTCCCAGACTTGCAAAGAAAAACGTTCACAAATCGGTGGCCCCTGTCACCAGCCTTTGTGCCCCCTCCCCCGAAACACCCCCCTCGGAAAGGCTCGGGAGTGGAAACGGGGTGTCAGTGACCCTGTGGGCCCTGGGCTTGTGGGTAAAGGGACTTACGAGTGTTGGTCAGTTGTTCTCCATGAGGGCTGCATGGCTGGGCTGTGGACCCTGGACTGATGAGAACACAAGAATGGCCAGACTGGGTCAGACCAAAGGTCCATCTAGCCCAGTGTCCTGTCTTCTGACAGTGGCCAATGCCAGACGCCCCCAGGGAATGAACAGAACAGGGAATCATCAAGTGATCCATCCCCTGTTGCCCATTCCCAGCTTCTGGCAAACAGGGAGAGGGGAGACAGGTCTGTATCTCAGGGAAGGCCCTTGTTGCTGGGACCCTTGGGGCTTTGAACAAAACTTGTGTTTGACCTCTCTGCTTATTCCTGCCCTGTTTGCGAGGGAGAGAGCTGAGCCGTGAGGCTTAATCCAGGTCACCTGCCAGGTAAACAGGAGGGACAACCCGGGGAGAGTTCAGAGAGGCAGCGTGATCCTGTCTGAGGTGTGGCTCTACGCCACAGAGCGGATACGGAGGATGAGGGAACTGCTGCTCTGCCCTGCCCTGGCTGTGCTGTTTTTGTCTGCCAGAGGACAGAACAGATTTCTGGCTACACCAGAGGAGAAGATACCTGGTCTGGTACCGTACGTCACAACGATGTCCAAGAAGTCTTTGTTTTCTTGCATGCTGCAGAGCCAGATTCAGACATCATTGTCCCACCGCCCCAAGGGGAAGGATCGGCAACGAGGGAAGTGGAGAGAGGAGGAACCAAAGCAGCAGACGGGCAATGTCTGACCGAGAGGGAACAGAGCCAGGAGGCATTCAGCCCAGCTAGACCCATCAAAATGTTTTCAGATACTCAGCAATCAAGGACGGGAGAACCTGGAACAAAAATCTACAGAGGACAAACCGGGGCTGGGGGTCGTTGTGGTCTGAAATAAGCAGCTACCGCTGGAGTTGGTTCCACCATTGTAAGAATGCAAAGAGTCGTCAGTGGTGACTCCAAGAGGAGTGGAAGAGAATTCAGGCAGGGCCACGAGCCAACGGGATAGTGCGCTGTCTGCCAGAGTGAAAACAGGAGCTGTAACCACAGGATTCGGAGGCTGTCTGGCAGGTCTCCCCCAAGGCTGATGACGCACATTGGAACCAATGGCACGGCATCCCATGGAACCACGCAGATTATAGAAGGCCTCGGGCAGCTTGGAAGGGAGCAGAAGTAAAGGAAAGTCCAAGTGACCGTCTCTGAGAGTCTACCGGTCCCTGTGTGACAAGGCAGAACGTGCTGGAGGTGAACTGTTGGCTTCATGACTGGTGTGCGGCTGAAGGCTTTGGTTTTGTTGAACATGGTGTCCCCTAGTCTCTGTTTGCCAGCAGCTGGGAATGGGTGACAGGGGCTGGATCACTTGATGATTCCCTGTTCTGTTCATTCTCTCTGGGGCACCTGGCATTGGCCACTGTCGGTAGACAGGATACTGGGCTAGATGGACCTTTGATCTGACCCAGTGCGGCCGTTCTTATGTAACATTGGGCCGTGTTCCAGTGGGAAGCACAAGGAAGTTGAAAGGAAACACGATGGATTTTGGTGCTCAGATCAAAGTAGTGACCTTCGTCTTTTCCTCCCATTCATTGACTGCAGACAAACGTGAGATGCTCCTACGCCGCACAACTAGCTTTCAGCTGCCCTCTGTCGCAAAGGAGACACGAGCCACAGCTGGTGTCCTCCGACTCCCATTAACGTGGACGAGGCCACATTGC